CATACATAACATACATAACATACATAACATACATAACATACATAACATACATAACATACATAAAATACATAACATACATAACATACATAACATACATAACATACATAACATACATAACATACATAACATACATAAAATACATAACATACATAACATACATAACATACATAACATACATAACATACATAACATACATAACATACATAACATACATAACATACATAACATACATAACATACATAACATACATAACATACATAACATACATAACATACATCATCATACATAACATACATAACATACATAACATACATAACATACATAACATACATAACATACATAACATACATAACATACATAACATACATAATATACATAACATACATAACATACATAACATACATAACATACATAACATACATAACATACATAACATACATAACATACATAACATACATAACATACATAACATACATAACATACATAACATACATAACATACATAACATAAATAACATACATAACATACATAACATACATAACATACATAACATACATAACATACATAACATACATAACATACATAACATACATAACATACATAACATACATAACATACATAACATACATAACATACATAACATACATAACATACTAACATACATACATACATACAGACAGACAGACAGACATACATACATACATACATATATTATCATATCAAAATTGAATTATTTGCCAGATACCATAGTTATATAATGTTATATAATTACAGACACACATGAATACTGTGTAGCTAAAACAGGATTCATACAACCTGCCTGGCGACTGTCTTCCAGCACAAGACCAAAAGAGGGATAAAGAAACCAAGAATGTGCGTGCCCATGCCTTAAGGTCGCTTGCAGCTCGACAAGCGTCTTTGTAGTCAATGCGACTCACGTATGCAACAAGTTCGGTTTTAGAAAAGATCGTCCAATTTCTTACAGTACAGCATAGGACACGGTCCAAAAGGACTGTGAACGCCTCCGCTGTCTTTTTCCAACAAGATTACTGCAAGAGTATGTTGAAATATGTTAAACTGCAGACAAACAAAATCAGCAGAATCACTCTCAGACTCTCCATTGAAAATATGCAAGCAGAAGGCCTCAAAAAGAGCCCCGGGCCCGTCAGAAGAAACGGAAGTCAGAAGCAAACACACCATCGCTCCAATTCAAACTTCGGCACTACAGAAAATGACTATATGATTCTATGACCCATCCTTCTTCTAGGCCAAAAAGAAGTTCAGTAAACCGATGGCGCTGCGAACATATTGTTCTCTTTGGCGCCATCTATCCCAATTTTGATTGTACGAATTCTCCTAGCTACCTCCATGTCTTTGATTTGCCTTCAAAGTCTTGGGTCAAGATCCTTACGTCCACGGAATAGTGACCAACAGACATACTCCAACATGGTAAGGCTAGCAGCTGCTGATCAGTTCCTCTCACGATAAGCAACTACTGCTCCTAACGGTGATATGACCAGCCAAGAAACGGCCCCCTCTTCTTGCTGAAGTTCCTCAACTGATGCTGGCAGCATCTTGCGGTTTCAAGAGAAATGATCAGCAACGAGAGGAAATTTCTCAAGGCACCCCGCCATGCCAGCCACACCAGCACATAGTAAAGCAGTAGGACCTGAAACACTCCGACAAGCAGTGAAACCTAGCACTGTTGCTGCTGAAACAGCAAGACAACATAATATTGGCATATATAACTTGCCTTCTTCATCCGACTGTTCACCCAAGGAAGTTGACATGTCTTGCGCACCCTTCAATTCATTCACAAAGTAACTTGGAGCTGGACTGGAAACACCTGAATGTGCATGGTGGGAACAGGAAATGCGATTGGAGTCATGCTATGGGAAGGGTGACAGATTGCTTGAAGTAAAGAATCTCACAGTTTCAACATGTCTCAACATGTCTCAACATGTTTCAACAGGTCTCAACATCTCTTTGTTCTGCGGTTTTCACCTATCTTCCCGTGACACTTCCCATAATATCTTCATATATCTTCTCATGTTTCATCACTTTTCTCTACATATTCCCTACCAACTGCGCTTTCGAAAGAGATTTTGAGGACGCTGCACGAAGGCTTCGCCATCGACGTCTCCGGGGAGCAGCTTGTGGGATGACGTGGACCTCTACACCTTCACCTGTAGCGCGAGCAAAAAACTCGAGTCTCGGTCAAAAATGCCAGATGCAAATCCCAGAGACATGGAGACCGATGGAAACCGATGGAGATCTATGGAATATGTGCTTTCGAACTCCGCACCTCTTGTGGCACCAGCAGCGCCAGCCTTTATGCTGCTACAAGGGCCGGAGCTTTTTAGTGGCTGCTGCCAAAAAGCCGGAGCCAAAATGCTTGGTTCAAATATTCATTAAATTGAATCAATTGAATTTCAATGCGCCCAGCCTCAATGTCTCCTGTCGCCGCATTGGGAACCTGCACGCTCCATGAGCATGAAAAATCACCAAGCTTGGATGGACTTGGATTGACTTGGAAATGGATGGTTACTTATTTCAATGTATTTGAACTAGAAGAGTTGCACTGTCTTCATGTGGGAGCCAAATGAGTCCAGAGGTGAGTGACACCTTCAACCAATAAATAACTGCTATATATAATATACTGCTATTATCTCTTCAGTCAAGCTGTTTGCAGCACGTTGCAGCGGAGTGGCAAGGTCTTCATGATCTCCAGCATTTGGTACTGGCTCTGCCTCTTCTATGAGCTGATAACGCTTCCGCAACAGCATGCTGCTAGTCACCGTTTCACAGATGCCAAGCAAGCCCGTCAAAGGCAAAGTCAAAGAAGTGGGGAGAAGGGGTTGAGATGATTTCTTTCTTGACAGACCTGACTCTACTGTTCGCGCTGTTTTATGGCACCTTGAGACTTGTGGCATCACTCACCTAGCACCCATGGCACAAATGTTCTGGGCAGCGTGTTGACCCCAAAGTTGTTTGCCCGTCAGCAAACAAATTAAATCAACTGCCATGCAAAGCCACTTCTCTAAGCTTCTGTTGAGTTTCTATGACATACAGCACCATGCTTGCACGTTACACCATGTCAAACCCTTTGAAATGGGGGCTTGCCTGGGCGGTCTCTTTGAGCAAACTCTTCCACTCGACAGCTTCAGCCTTCGACAGAGTGACCTCAAAAGGCTGGACAGTCCACTGTCACAAGGCCAGGATGCGGCAGGATGCTGGACTTGAATGGACTTGGTTCATCTTAGTTCACCTTGACTCTCACTGCAGCTGTAAATTCGGAAAACATGTCACACTCTTGGAGCAGCCGGGCGCAGCCTGCAATTCCATACTGCTTCGATCAAACGTCCAGAAAGAATTCTCAGGATCGACCTGGTAGCCGGTTCTGCTTTCACTGGATACACAGACTGGACATGACTGGACTGATTTACAACTGTAAAATGAATTTGCTAGACATATTAGACATCATTTTAGAATATGTTGGACATACTATTTGACATACTAGACATCTGTGCAATCTCTCCACGTTCAGCCTCTCCGGCCAAGACTACATCCTGGCAGAGTACTCTGCCACGCAGTCTGACAAAAAGGCTCCTGGAAAACATCGAGCTGCTCGTGCACCTCCAATTGCTCAGCTCCAAAAATGAAAAGACAAACCCAACTAATTAAAATTTGGATACAGTGGAATACAGAGAATGTTGCAAGATTGTGCTTGTCTATGTGTCTACGAAGCACCTTGACCCAGATCTAGGCCTTTTGTTTCTTGGTAGATTGCGATAATGATTGCACTACAGACCGGATACCATAATCCTCTCCTTCTGGAGAACTTCACGACAATGTCCTTCTTGGTAGCTCGAATGCCAGTGAATGGTCCTGTATTGAAACAAGATAAGACCAAAGCAGCATGAAAACTTTGAAATGCTTTCAATATCCTTATAATGCTGCGCGATCTGTCGAATCACAGTGCGACTAAGGAAAGAGGACAGGTGCCTGGATGGAAAACCACTTCAACTTCATCACTTGTCTGCTTCCAAGCCTCACTACCAGTATGCCTCCCTCCACAGTTTCTCTAAAGTTGCGAGGCAACGACCAAATCTGACCGTGTCTTTTGCAAATGGATGAGCTGCCCGACATACAAGTCCGAATCACCCTCTGCCATTGGAGCTCCACCATCCTTCAATCCAGAAAACCTAGGCTTGAGGCTTGATGGAAATAAAATACTCATCCTAAATGGTTGAGACGGTGACCACTCAGCATCCTCCTTCTGCTTCAAGCCAGACCTGGATTACAACGAATTCGGTCAAAAGTTTTGCATCATTCAATATCTCGAAGATTTACAAAAACCAAAAGCATCGTGAGGAATCGTGACTGACTTTCCCGCCAAATTCTGAGAGTTGGGCTCATCGCGCGCACGGCGGGCGTCCTGAGGTCTCGTTACGGCCCACCCCTACTTGGTGCGCAAAAAGACTGCATGTTTTCTTGGCAACAAAGCATTCCGAGTGTTACATAGGTATCTATATATATATATATATTTATTAGCATAATTCAAAAGACATGCGCTAGTGGGATATGAAAAATCACGACGGGTCGATATGACGATGGAGACGACGGCACGACGACAATGTGCCGACGGCCTGACGACGATAGCTCGGCAGCACGACGACGATGTGCCGACGGCACGACGGTGATGGACCGACGGCATGACGACTGCTTGACGACATGACGACGATGCGACGACAGCGCGACGACCGTCACAAGCCCGAGTTTGACATGTCATAAGCCCGGGTATAAGCCCGGGTTCGGCGCCGAACCCGGGCTCATGACATGTCATAAACTTAAACTGGGGTTGGACGCCGAACCCAAGCTTATGACGGTCGTCGCTCCATCGTCGCACCGTCGTGGCATCGTCGTCATGTCGTCGTCATGCCGTTGTCATGCCGTCAGTCTATCGTCGTCGTGCCGTCGGCACATCGTCGTCAGGTCGTCGTCATGCTGTCGTCGTGCCGTCGTAGTGACATAGCCACTCCGTTGTCATAGGGCCCGAACTATTGTCAACAGCCTCCCGTTGTGGAGTTCCTGCTTCCACTAGAAAACCTGGCTTGCGTGTGTTTAGAATTTAGCATATATATATATACATATACACTATGTATGTGTATATATATATGTATATATATATGTGTGTGTGTATATATATATATAGCATATACATATGTATATGTATATATATATACAAATATATTATATTGATGTTATCACGCAGTTGATGGTACGCTGTTGACTTTCTTGTGCAGATGTTAACATGCTGTTGAGATGACTCCCTCCTAAAGGGTCTCCAGAGTGGTCCCCCACCTACATTTAGAAAAGTATTAATCCAAGGGCCCCTAATTCTTCAAGGTACCTCTATTGATTTGTTTGGCGGCACTTCCCCCCCGCCTAGATGTAATAAATGGCGATCTTCCCACCACATAAATTAATTTCAGGCAAAATTGTTCAAGAGTGGGGGAACTACTATTTTCTTTTGGGTTAGGCAGACCCCAATTAATTTCTTCTAGTTAATTGTGGCGTGGTTGGCTAAATTATTTGAGGTAGGGGTGAAGGTATCCAAAGTTTCAGGAACATATGGCCTCCAATGAGGCCAGCCAAGCCCATACGCATGATTCAACACGTCCGGCAAAAGCGGCATCGGATTCAAACCATGGGGTCCCAAACCAGTACACCCACTCCCAAATTAATTTTACCCGTGGCCACGCGAGCTGGGAAAAAGGAAAAGCTTTGCTGGCGCAAAAAAAATGAATTGCGTGCTTATTCATTCGTGATGCTTTTAATGGGTGTTCAATTCTCATTGCACGCAATCAATAAGATTCTGTTCCAAACGCATTTTCTTCCTTGTAAATGCCACCCAGGTAAATTTAGCGTCATTAATAATCCAAGTTTGATTGAGCTGGCATGAGCTGTTTGACGAAACATTGCCAATTAATTCGAGGTGGCCCCACTCTAATTCTCGAGCATTCAGCACTAAATTATGTTGGGCGCCTCTAACTTAAATTAATCCTCGGAAGATAGAGCCCTCGAAAAAGCTCACCCACTTCAAAATTAATTGAAAAAATGGGATAACCGACGATCCACCTGGATTAATTTCTTACGGTAGGGGTCTTCTGTTGAGGGTACGCTGTTGACTTTCTTATGTCTATGTCAACACGTTGTTGCTGGCACACTGTTTGAAATTCTATGTTTATGTTAACACGCTGTCGATGGTACGCTGTTCTCTTTCTTGTGTTCAAGTTACAGTAACTTCTTTTAATGGTACTCTGTTGATTTTCTTACGTTAATGTTCAGGTCCTTGCTGCAGCCGCGTTGCATCGAAAGCCAGGTCTCCAACAAATTTTGGATTCCATTCGGGAATGCGCCGCTGGCCTTGTCAGAATGTCATCTAGTGACGCCTTCAAAGCTTCAGTGGCTCCAGTGAGATGATGAAAAAGTTTCCTGCATGTGTTTCTGCGGGACAAGTTTTTGAAAAGAAATGAAAGGGTGAAAATTGAAAAATCAACAAAAACCCTCAGCTTTCAGCCGTTTCGGGCGACGGCGAGACATAGGGTTTGCGCTACACACATACATATATATATATACACACATACATATGCATATATATATACGTATATAAGTCGTTATATTATATTTCCTTTTGTGGGATGCGTGTGCGTGGGATGGCTTTCACTGCGACTTTTGTGCCAAGAACTTGATATCAATATTCAATACGCAGTAGCAAATTAGTATACAAATGGCTTCGTACATGTATGTATTGCACATGGATGTACTTTATGTATCTTTATGAGTGATACAGTAGTTCATGATATTTCAGCGTGCAGACTTGCAAGGTAAGTTCTCTGCTTCGACTTCCTGCTTCTTGGGTTTCTGGTAGGAGCTATCTTTACGATCAATGATCATTGATATTCTTTGATGATCTTAGGTCTAGTAAAAATCTTACCAGCCCCTTTTCAACATCCAATACCCACTTGCACCGGCACAACCTTCATGACTGACTCTGCTTATTCGGCTCTTCACCTGATTGAATCATATTGAGTCTTCGAGTGCTCCCTCGAGGCTTGAGAAATTGGCTGATGCCGCCTACAGGGACCTGAAATGACCGCAGTTTTATCTTATGTCGCTGCTCTTTGTTGAAGCACGGGATTTACAGTTTCAAGGTCCTTGAACCACTGAGCATTCTCGTTGCAATCCTGTAGAGTAAAGTCGCAACCTGGTACCAAAAAGGTAGGGACAAGTGGCGAGAGTCAGCAGGACTGATACGAATAGTAACAACAAAAAAGAGTTGCTACAGTACTGCTAAAGCCTTAAGTTACTGAAATCTACAGGACCTAAGGTCGCGGCGTCGCCAAATTGGTTTCAAACAGTCGCGTTCAAAGAAATCCTGCACAAAGCTGTTGCCTAGAAAGCAATCGAGTTGAAGCCTAAAAGCTGTTGAACATGCTCAAAGACTGCCAAGTTGGCTGAGTTGGACGGACTAGGAGTCCTCTGTTTGCGATAGGAAGCAGGTGCCTCGAATGTCCTGTAAGGCCGCTCCAGGGTTGAGGTCTGGAAGTCACTGGCTCTGAAGCATGACCAAATGTCAGCCCTGCTTGCCCAGCCTGTGGCGGAAAGCCTGCGGCCAGACAAAGGTTCGTAGCCTGAGTGTTTTTCTCGGCATCTCGCTCTGAAAGCATCAGAGAACTCAGCGAACATTTTATTTAGTGCTCTGCAAAAGTGATTGCCAAATCAAACAGAAAGCTATTCTGCTCTGTGAAGCACTCAGGCTACAGCCCGCTGGTTCACCTAATGTCTGCTGCATCATTTGGTGACAAGTCACATCTTTTGCGTCCTTTTGCTTCAACATTTGAGCTGGCAACAGGCCCCTCTTGAGTATCTTCGTGATAGAGGAATACTCCCTGACAGTCGTGAAAGCCATCGAGTCAAAACAACCCCAGGTATGGGTTGTCAATTGAAATCATGAACAGGTTGGTCCTTCTTTGCAGAGTCTTGAGTCGGATTGCGAAGAGCAATTACCTCAAAAAGCAAAAGCCAGCTCTCCCCGAGCGGAAGTAAGGGACTTAAACTTTGGCAAACTTCAGACCAGCCTTGAAAGTCCGCATGGATGCAAGCAATTCCAACTGATCGTTGTCGACTTTCTGCAACGCATCTCGAAGCCTGTCCTGAAAAGCCCAAAGGCGCCACCATGACGCCTATGTCAAGATGACCGTGAGAGCTATCTATGTAGCCAATGTCTCCATATGTCTCCATGTATGAGTTCTTGAATCAACGAGGCTCCTCTTCTTGGAGCATGTCCTTCTGGAGGGCGTTTGCCTTCACAAGAAATTTAGATCAGACAGTTCAAACAGTTCGTATCATGCATCTCTGTTGGAGCGTTGGAAACCTAAAATGACAACTGTAGGACTGTAGGACTCCAACTGTGGCGCGTTGGTTTGGGCCTTGGGTCTTGGATTGCAGGCCGGACAACTTTAGGCCCGGAAACTCTGCAATGCACGCACTTGAGTGTGCCATCTTTCTTGAGGATTAACATACTTTGGAACAAACCCACTCTTGAAGAATCGACAAGCTCCTCGCGAGAGCAGTATGAATTGTTGAAACAGCAGTGTAGCCGATGATGGCGAAACAAGAAAGGAAAGAAATCACAGACATGCTATGCTAGTAAGAGACGGTGTAGGTATGCTAGGAAGAAGATCTAACAACATCCAACAAGACCTAGTGAGCGTGTCCTCAAGCAGCTTCTGGCGAAGACCATCTGTGGCAAGGGCCTCCGACCAATTCCCAAACAAGCTTTGCTGAATGCTTTTGACCCAGTCGTGTTTTAAGCACATTGTTCTCAGGGCCTAGCACCCACCCTGTCTAGTTTGTCCATCTCCTGTCCCTCTCTGCTACAAGCGCTTCCAGAATTTCATGGGCTCCCATTAGCTGCACCTCCTTGCCAAGTTCAGCTCGCAATGCTCTGATAAAGCTGAGGTCATTCAGCTCTGTGACTTGAGAAGGAAAGTAGACCTCACCCCAAGCGTCCCAGAGCGTTCGCAAGTGATCATAAAGTGCTCACATGCAATTTCCAGTCATTCAGTATGGGTCTGAAGGCCTGTCGCATGGCTTCATCAGCTGGGATGGCTACCTCAATTTAGACCCGGTACACCCCAAGCAACAAAGCTGCAAGTGTCTGCAAAGTGGCTTGTAGTTTCCTGACACAGATTTAGGCTAAATGGTTTGACTGGGCGTTTTCTTAGCAATTCAAACAGAAGATGTTTTCCCTCAAAGGCACGTAGAAAAATCCGTCTGCCATCCTTGTCAGCCTCTCGACATTGCTCTGCAAGGATCCTTGAGATATTGGTTCAATCTGAAACAAGTTTTGGGCTGTCAAACTTCTTGACTGTTGTTTCACTGAAGCTTTAATGGACTGTATGACGCCTTTGTCCAGCAGTCTGCCAAATGAGATGCTTATCGAGAAAAGTCCGCTCAACATTGTCTTGGCTATGGAAATTTGGAAACTGTCCGAAACAATAGGGGTGTGTGTGTGTGTGTATGTGTTGCGGTCTTGACTTGTGGGAACGGCTGGCCTGGTTGCATCCAAAACTATCCAAAACTGGCGTTTGTCTGCGTGCTTGATCTGTCTGCTTTTGCATGTTTGCGCCGCTGCCTCAGAAACTCATGTTGAGAAGCCTGTGTGAACAAAGCAGGTGCTTGGTAAAGGAGGCGTAGGGACAACATGCTTCAAAGTGCAAATCGCACTCCTCATGCGAACTATATCAGATCGAATACAGGTAATCCAACTTATCCAACTTACACAACGAAAACTTCAGTGTGAAAACAACCATCGTGCACTCATGCACGTGGATGCCTGTAGGTTATTGGGCTGCTTTTTTGCAAACACGACTTCCAGGAGTGGCGCAGTTCTGTACAGAGCTGTCTATGCAGATTGCAGGAAGCTTCCAAAGTCTGCTCCAGAAAGAATTGCTTTGACCTGCACATCAAGCATCATGTCCATTCTTGCTGCAAGATCGCGATTGATCTTGTAGTTGGATCAAATCATGAAGGTGAATAGTGGGTCCTACTCTACATGTCAAGGAGCGGGAAAAGCAAGAAGACAAACCAATCAGCTAAAGTTTACTTGACTACTTTCTTTGGTGAGTCAATCATAACTGGTTGAAGGAAGTACTCTACCAACATCCATGTTGAAATCGTCTAGTGTAACAACCCTTGTGACCTCTCAGCCAGAAATGCAATTACAACCCTTTCAACTACATTAAACATCCATGTATGTTTGTCTGCATTGCGTGTGTGCAACGGAACGTAGCGCAACTTGATGTAATGTAATGAAATGTAATGAAATGTAATTTGATGTAAAGTGGTGCGGTGCAGGGCAGTGCAGTACAGGCATGGTTGTATTTCTTTGCAGGAATCAGACACTTGTATACTATGTATAACCCCATTATAAGCCCATGTACACCGTGTGCATATTGTGGGTCTGTGGCCAATACACATGTGTTTCTTCAGTTTCTTCTCACGGAGCCATGTTGGCCATGAAAAATGTATGTTGCGCTTTGTGATCCTGCAGATTGCCTCACTGTCGGAGAGCAATATTCCATTCCAGAACAAAACATGAATGTTTAGAGTTTTGAATTATATTGTTGTATCATGTTGTATCAATGAATAAGACATGTTATGTTTAAAATCCTTGACGCTGCTGGCTACTTTCAATATCTTTATCAGGGTGCCGGGAGGGAGGGTTGAAAAACATAGCGGCTGACTGCGGCTGACTACGGCTGACCGGCTGACTCCGGCTGACTCCGGCTGACTCCGGCTGACTCCGGCTGACTCCGGCTGACTCCGGCTGACTCCGGCTGACTCCGGCTGACTCCGGCTGACTCCGACTGACTCCGGCTGACTCCGGCTGACTCCGGCTGACTCCGGCTGACTCCGGCTGACTCCGGCTGACTCCGGCTGACTCCGGCTGACTTCGGCTGACTCCAGCTGACTCCGGCTGACTCCGGCTGACCGGCTGGCTCCGGCTGACTCCGGCTGACCGGCTGGCTGCGGCTGACTCCAGCTGACTCCAGCTGACCGGCTGACATCGGCTGACACCGGCTGATCTCGGCTGACTCCGGCTGACTCCGGCTGACTGCGACTGACCGGCTGACTCCGGCTGACCGGCTGACTCCTGCTGACTCTGGCTGAGTCCGGCATGTAGACTTTTACTAAAGAAAGAGTGGAAGATAGCAAAGGGCAGATGCAATGCCATGTTGGGATTTTTATGACTGGAAACAAGAGATAATTATTCTTTTCAAGCTTTTGACGTTGCATATGTCCTGTATGGGCGGCCACGGTTTCCATGGGCTGTCCCTTTTGTGCCACTTTCATGTGCGGATCTGCCGCGAAGTTCTTGTGTAAAGTTCTTTGTGAACGAAGGAGCGATCACAATTCAGAAGGTGAAGTTCAGCTACAAACCAATTCGGGAAAAAGGGACTTGTAGATCAATTTCATAAAGACAACCTATGCTTGCACTAACATGCTCGCATGGTTTACTTGTGTGGCGTAAGCACGATGCGAAGATAAGCGTGGCACACTGATTGCAATCAATGACGCGTGTGACATACAGTTGTGGAAGATCTAACTATACTGAATAACATGTAAAAACAAACTTGTAAGTGGGGAGCCTTACCTTGTAGCATCCATGTCCATGTCATGAAATGTCAATTGACCGATGGTCATAGCAGCCATTCCATTTTTAGAAGGCCATCTGAAGGAAAGCCAATGAAGGAAAACCAATCACATATCAACTGGGTGTGTGGGATTCCCGTTTAAAATTCAGGGGGAGACGCTGTGAAAGCAAAACGTGGGCGCTATATAGAATCTATACCGTCAGTCTGCAAGGTTAAAAAGTTTAGAGGCAAAAAACTGTAAACTTGTCAATTCACTAGTGGCATTTTTTGGTTAAAACATGCAAATTAATGGGAATATTGAGATGGGATCGTTTTTCCAAGCATGATCCGCAAAAGTTTGTGTGAAATATCAAGACCCCTGATTCAAAACAGATTTGTTCTTTCTGGAAAAGAGCACTGCGCACAAACAAGTGGAACTCTTCACGTCCCGAAACATGCCTTTTAAAAAGGCAACAACTTCTGCCTTCAAGATGTTACATGCGTGAACTCATTGAAAAATGTTGTCCACAAGAAATTGGATTATATATGATATCAGCAAACATAGCTAAAGTCACAAAGGATGGATAAACGGACTTGTGCTGCCAAGTGCTACGCATGACCTTACTTGAGAAAATGCTTGATGACAATTACATGTGCTTTATATACTTGTCGGCTGATCTAATTACAAAAGCACTTCCCTTGAGAATGTTTTCAGTCGACTTTACTTGATCCATTTCACTGAACTTTACGTCTGGATATGTCCAATGATTTTAATCCGAACTTCAGTTCCATGGACTTCACTTGACATTCTTTTCCATGGACTTTGCTTTACTTGATATTCAATTCAAATGGAATTTACTTGACATGATATGCAATGAATTTACCTCAGCTGATATTCAATAACCTTTACGGGAGATTGCTTTCCGCGGGCTTTACTTTTGATTGTCTTCAATGGACTTACTTGAGACACACCCCAGTTGAATTTTATTTGAGACTGCCTTAAGGGGACTTGGGACGCAATTCAACGAACTTTACTTGAGACTGTCTTCAATATACTATACCTGAGATTATCTCTAGTGAACTTTGTCGGAGATGATGTTCAAAAGACTGCAATTGTGCCTACCTTGTGCATGTATTTGTGTTTGTGTGTGTGTGTCAGGTCTCATGTATTTTCTTGCGCATACCAGACTTCATCAATGAAGACGCTGTGGATTTCACAACGAATGTGACGAAGAAATTGTGAAGTGTCGCACGTAATTATTGTGCACCTTTGGTGTGTTTTAAATGCACAGCATTTGCATTTTTAAAAAACGTCATGTGCCTTCATGTAATTTGGTAAAAGCTTCATGTAATATTAGCACAATTACATGAAGTCTGAAAAATTGCAGATAAAGTGCTTATACACCGCATCGGAAGCACATAAGCAATTACATAGGAAATACAGAAATTCACACAAGTTTTAACTGACTTTCTTTGGTCCCAGTAGTTTCCATCAAAGTTCAACTAGACTGGCATGAAACGCTGCGAGAATTTGTAAGGGTTAAAGTCCAAATTGTTGTTCTTTTAGTGGGTTTGCTGTTTAGAGGGTCAGAAGCATAAATTTCCCGCCGGACCGGAAACCATGTTCGTAAAAGCACGTGTTTTCAAAAAATGAGTATGGCACTGTGGCGAAACCAAAATTTGGGCGTTTTCGCGTTTTACCACAGTAAAAGCTCATTTTCATCGGATGGTTTTCGTGGAATCTGAAAAACAGCACTTTTTCGACAGAAGATGCGTTTTAATGCTTCAATCGTCTTCTGCTGCAAAATGGCACTGCGGTTTATGTACCTCCATTGCCAAGATTTTGCGTGCAACAGTAAATCGCGGCTTTGGGAGGACAAACTGTTGGAAATGTAATTCTTTAATGCAGCACGGTCAATAGTACCAGTAGGACAAAAAAGAAGATCACAGCGTAGTTGCAAGTTGTGTTACAAAAGTCAACAATGTAGTTGGAACTTGATCGAGAAGATAACAACGTAGTTGCAAGTTGTGTTACAAGAGCCGACAACATAGTTGCAATTTGAAAATTTAGTAATGCACTTGGCAGTTGCTAGTAGAAAAGACGTTAATAGCCCACCCCGCCCCACCCCACCTCATGCAAGTGGTTAGAAAGGTTAGTAACGCAGTTGGAAGTTGTTAGTAAAAAAGACGTTAATAGCCCACCCCATCATGCAAGTGGAGAAGTTAGTAACGGTCAAGCGCGGATTTGGAAACTAAAACCATGGATTCGGAAATGAACATGCACGCGGCGGATTCGGAAACTAAGATTCGGAAACTAAAACCGCAGATTCGGAAACGAAGATTCGGAAACTAACAGACACGGATTCGGAAACGAGGATTCGGAACATAAAAACAGAGGATTCGGAAACTAAGGAGGACGGGGCTTCCGAAACTAAGATTCGGAAACTAAAAGCGCGGATTCGGAAACTAAGACTCGGAAACTAAGAAACGCGGATTCGGATTCGGAAACCAAAACACCGGATTCGGACACTAAGATTCGGAAACTCAAACACGCGGATTCAGAAACTAAGATTCAGAAACTAAGAAACACGGATTCGGAAACTAAGACTCGGAAACTGACAGACACGCGACACGCGGATTCGGAAACGGAAACTATCCATAGGGAGTTGGAAACCGGGAGTCGGATACTAAAACCCGGGGAAGCACAGGAACAGGGAGTTGGAAATGCGAAACTCGTGATGAAAGGGGGTTGGATTACAATTGTTCAACATGCTGCTTTTGAATCTGAATATTCATTTGCAGTCACTTCCCCTATGTGATATGGTTGCAACTTCCAAGCCAGCACCAGCAAAATGACTGCAGGGTTGAGTGCCAGATACGTAAGAAACTCAGCAGATTTGCATCCTTTTTACCAAGAAACTCATGTTCACTTCCCTCAAGTGGTGTTGGACAGTCCAAGTCAATTTGAAGTTCCATGGGGTGGCAATTTTGATATCGTCATCCTTGTGGACAGTCCAAGTCACTTTGAAGTTGCAAGGGGGCTGGCAATGTTGATATCATCTTATCCTTGTGGACACTCCAAGTCAAATTGAACTTCCATACGGGTGGCAACTTTGATATCATCTTATCCGTGTGGACACTCCAAGTCAATTGAAGTTCCATAGGGGTGGCAATTTTGATATCATCTTCTCCGTGTGGAAAATCCAAGTCAAATTGAAGTTCCATGCGGTGGGAATTTTGATATCACCTTATCCCTGTGGACAGTCCAAGACAATTTGAAGTTCCATGGGGGTGGGAATGTTAAAATCATCTTATCCTTGTGGAAAGTCCAAGTCCATTTGAAGTTCCATGGGGGTGGGAATTTTGATATCGTCTTATCCTCGTGCACAGCCCAAGTCAAATTGAAGTTCCATGGGTGTGGGAATGTTGATATCATTTCATCTTATCCTTGTGGACAGTCCAAGCCAATTTGAAGTTCCATGGGGGTGGGAATTTTGATATCACCTGATCCTTGTGGAAAGTGTAGGTCAAATTTCAAGCTCAATGGGGGTGGGAATTTTGATATTATCTTATCCATGCGGGCAGCCCAAGTCAATTTGAAATTCCATGGGGGTGGGTATTTTGAAGTTCCATGGGGTGGGAATTTTGGTATCATCTTATCCTTGTGGACGGTCCAAGCCAATTTGAAGTTCCATAGGGGTGGGAATTTTGATATCATCTTATCCATGCGGGCAGTCCAAGTCAATTTGAAGTTCCATGGGGGTGGGTATTTTGAAGTTCCATGGGGTGGGAATTTTGGTATCATCTTATCCTTGTGGACGGTCCAAGTCAATTTGAAGTTCCATGGGAGTGGGTATTTTGAAGTTCCATGGGGTGGGAATTTTGGTATCATCTTATCCTTGTGGACGGTCCAAGTCAATTTGAAGTTCCATAGAGGTGGGAGTTTTGATATCATCTTTTCCATGCGGGCATTCCAAGTCAATTTGAAATTCCATGGGGGTGGGTATTTTGAAGTTCCATGGGGTGGGAATTTTGGTATCATCTTATCCTTGTGGACGGTCCAAGTCAATTTGAAGTTCCATAGAGGTGGGAATTTTGATATCATCTTATCCATGCGGGCAGTCCAAGTCAATTTGAAGTTCCATGGGGGTGGGTATTTTGAAGTTCCATGGGATGGGAATTTGGGTATCATCTTATCCTCAGTTTCTGAAGCCGGATAGTTTCTGAATCGTGATAGTTTCTGAATCGCAATAGTTTCTGAATCGCTCTAGTTTCTGAATCGTGACAGTTTCTGAATCGTGATATATAGTTTCTGAATCGGTGGAAATAGTTTCTGAACCGTACTTTCTGAACCTTAGTTTCTGAATCGCCGTTAGTTTCTGAATCGGTTTTGGATCTCTAGCTGTTAGTAGAAAGGATGTTTATAGCCCACCCCACCCCACCCCATGCAAGTGGTTAGAGAAGTTAGTAACTTAATTGGAAGTGGTTCATGAAAAATAAGAAGTTAGTAACGTACTTGCATGTTCTCAAAGACGTTAGTTTTACGAGCACGGTTTTCAGTCCACCGGCATAAATCTGTCCAATTTCCAGAATTCTCATATGCTCTGAAAATTCACCAAAACCCTGATAGGGTGCAAAAACATCTGAAAACCTTGGGTCCCTATGTTCAAGTAAATTCAAATACAATTCAAGCAAATTCAACTCACTACTCATATTATATATATAATAGAAGCAAAAAGTAACCTTCAGTTTTCACTTTCACTTTCACAGTCACTTGCAAAATAATTTGGGCATTAACGACGCGGAAAAATACGATGGCCAAGCATGTCCGACCATCGTATTTCCCCACCTCGCTTTTGACACCAACAGTCCCGCAAACTAACTTTCAACTAACTATTTTAAAGGTTACTGAAACTACACTGCATGAATGTGCCAACTAAATACATGCAAATAAGTCGTAAATAGTTACATATCGTATACATGTTTATTTGATTTCAGTCCAGTATTCTCAAGTTATTAAGAAACCACATGCAATACTTTAGAAAAGTGAATAAGTGTCACAAGTTGTGCTTGGGCGCAGGTTGTCTCAATAGATATATGGTCTCAGGCAGAAAGATCTCAAATGAATATCATGATATATCATGCAAGCAGGTTCTTTCACAAGCAAATATTCTTAATGCAAATCATTGCGAAACTATTGTGTCCCCAGACTCAGACTGGCCATAAATTTCAGCAAATTTGCCAAATGCTGATCCGCAAATTGAACGTTTTGATGGCAAGTTCGTGCAATTATAATTCAGTCGGGGGACCTCCACTGTGAAGCATGCTGTTCGAAGTTAAGAAGGGACTTGGAGATTTTTCTTTTTGTTCGGAATGGCATTTGGATGCGTGTCGTATTTTCTACAGGGTCAACCAGCCCCATGCAGGCTACCTTTAGTTTCCAAACTCACTAATGTTACTTAGGCCTAATAAATTTACTAATTTGTTAAAAGAATTTGCGTACCCAAAACCCTCAATAGTTGCATGAAAAACGCGGTCAAAGTATGTCAAATTATGATTGGTTCTTTGGAATTTTTGCTGGACTCGTTTGTTTTGAACTAAACACCTGTGGAAGTTCAACCAGGCACTCAAATGATCCACTTAGCTGTGTGCAGGAGAGGAGGCCAAGGAATGTCACGTGATCGAATGCAACTGAACCATGTCACTTTATTTGGAATCTGATGGCTCTCATCTCATTGTCAGAAATTGTTAAGCTTGGTTACTGCTAGCCTGCTTTGGTTAGAATCTGCTCCTGCAAGGCCCCTGTGCTCTGCTGTCATCGGCCGCTCGGCTGTACTCGGCGGCTCGGCTGTGCTTGGCTGTGCTCGGCTGCGCTCGGCTGTTGTCGGCTGTAGTCGGCTGTGTACTCAGCTGTACTCAGCTGTACTCAGCTGTACTCAGCTGTACTCGGCTGGTCGGCCGTGCTCGGCTGGGATTGGCTGTAGTTGGCTGTTCTCGGCTGTAGTCGGCTGTAGTCGGCTTTGCTCGGCTGTAGTCGGCTGTAGTCGGCTGTAGTTGGCTGTACTCAGCTGTACTCGGCTGTAGTGCTCGGCTGTAGTCGGCTGTAGTCGGCTGTAGTCGGCTGTAGTCGGCTGTAGTCGGCTGTAGTCGGCTGTAGTCGGCTGTAGTCGGCTGTAGTCGGCTGTAGTCGGCTGTAGTCGGCTGGTCGGCTGTAGTCGGCCGTAGTCGGCTGTAGTCGGCTGTAGTTGGCTGTGGTCGGCTGTAGTCGGCTGGTCGGCTGTAGTCGGCTGTAGTCGGCTGGTCGGCTGTAGTCGGCTGCACTCGACCGTGTGAAATTCCTGAGCCCTCTCTCCTGGCACAATGATCTTTATTGCCTTTGAGCCATGACTTCACATGACGAGGCTCAAGTTCGGAGGGTAGCATTGACCCTGGAATGAAGCAGTCGATTCAGACATTTAGCCTACTGCCCAGAGCCTGTCCAAGAGCCTCCTTCTCCTCTGATCTTGCGGTCTGGCGAACCTTCACATAAATTTCTCAAAGACAATTCACATCAGGCTCAGTATGTTGTCGTACTCCAGTTTTGTCTTGCATGTCTTAGCTGAAAGGCCTCGAAGTTTGCGAGGAAGAAGTCACACTCCTTGTGCAGGTTCACTTTGCTGTCAAACCTTGGAAGCCACCCTTTGGGCAGCCAATACTAGCCAGCACCTGCCAGTCTGCTAGCCTCCAGAAACATCGTCTGAGCACAAGGCAGCTGGTCAAGCTCTTCAATCTGTGCCTCTCGATTTGCTTCTTCCTTGCAGAATCTGTTTGAAATGTATTTAGTGATGTCTGGTGATATCTGGTGTCGGGAAGATGGAGACATCTTGCGGCTGGAAATGGCAGTGGACTCTATATGCGAAATGTTCCAGGCGCAGCCGCTCTGATCAAACAACTCTATCGGCCTGCATGATGAAAAGGAAATTACATGGATGAATCTAAAGCAGTATCCTTTTTGACTGTTCCCCGATGTTCATCTTCAACTAGTTTGGTAGCTTTACACTGGCAAGCATTGCTTTGGCAGCCAGTAAAGCTGGTGAAACCACAAATGACTTCGGAACTCTTTGAATTTCCTGTACAACGTTAAGAGTTCTCTCCCTCTTTGCGGCTCACAGAAATTCACAAGTTTCTTTTCTCTCATCTTTGGACTTCATAGTTTGAAGTAAAGTCAGGACATCATCGATCTCTTGCGACAATTCCTGCGACTCCTGGCGCACCGCAATACTGCACCACCATTCATCTGATCTCATCAGTCCTTGTGGTATTTTTTGGTGGCTATGCAATTCTTGAAATTCAATTGAGAGGAAGAAGCATGCAAGTGGATTGCATTTGGGGCATGGCGGAACCTCAGCACGAGCAAAGCAGTGCTCTTGGAATTGACTGCAAATGCCACCCGTCCAAGTTAATTGCCCGGACTATTCTTCGAAGCAGCATGTACTGTCTAGACCAAAAAGCGTGGAATTTGTGGAATCATCAAACTTTAAATGGTCAATCTCAGGGCTCTCCATCATGGCCATCACGCCTCTGTCTCGAGTGGTTTCCAATGCCCCAAGCTTGGGAAAGCATTCGGCTCTGTGAAAGCAGAGGCCTCGGCAAATTTGGCTTTGGTCAATGGTCCAATGGTCCAATGGCCAATAGCTTCCCGTGAAACCAACACATTCTAGTCTACTGCCAGCTATATCATCTATATCTAATTGCGATGTTAGATATGTTACCAGACATGCTCAGAAGCTAAGATATCCTCTCTGTATCTCTATGTGAGAATACCAAGGAGAGGCGACACCTTCGTCTAAGAACACGAGAAGTCGAGAAGGTTTGCCTATGTGTTTGTACGTAGTATGCATCAACAAACATCATCCTGAGGTTACGTGATCACTCTAAGAGAATGATTTTTCAAGTGTGCTGAAAGCTATTTGAGTGGCGCAAACCGCACTACATATGAGCTTGCCAGGAAACTCTCCGAGGGATTCATGTGTCTGCCAAAGTCCAACTCGAAATTCTTCGTTGGAAAGTTAGCACATGTTAACACATGTTTGCACATGTTTGCACATAAAGCATTACCAGCCAACATCTTCGCATAACAACATCCTTGCATTAGCCTGAATGCATCCACCCAACATGATGCTGCCTCTCGTTCGCACGGGGAGTCTTCATTCCAGGCCTTCCCCCACCGCAAAAGCAAGAGGACCAGAAAAAGGTAGTAAACAAAGCCCTGTCATGCCCAGTCTCTCTTTCAGATCTGTGTTCATAATATGTTACGAAAGTGTGTACTGATTTATACATCCCGTGCTAGTTTAGACTTGCAGCCATTAGCAGTAGCAGCCACGGGCAGCCACCCCAACAAATCAAGTACTTATGCCCGAGATTGCCAGACATGCACCATAATTCAATAATGCTGAACCATCCTTGCACAGACTCCACTAGAAGCCGAGATTATCCAGCATCTTGATGAGCCAAGGGCAATAAACAAAAGAAAAGATAATAAAAGTTTTGATAAAAGTAAATTGAAGAAAAATCGAGAAATTCGTCGAGAAACTTCTCTGAAAAATCTTTCGGCGCAGTGGACTTGTAAGGACCAATTCAGCGGAGTTGGATAACGAAAGATCCTAGAGAAACCGCTAAATGATCTAAATGTACTATATATGTAAAGCATATGTAAAGCGAAGGCCCGGAGATGCAAAATGAAAGAAGCTTAAGTGAAGATTGTAAAAAGTGCAGGATGTAAGATCAGAACGCGTAAGGAAGCAGTATACAACTAGTTGCATTAGAATTCTTCCAATGAAACTGGAATCCCTTAGCCAGGCAAAGTTCAAATCGGAAAGAAACAATTCCAATCACGAAACTCACCATCACCTGGTCAAGCATCCCCTTATGACTTCGAAAACGAAACCAGTCAAAAGTATTCAAACAAATAATCAAACAACGCCACACTTGACCTCCGGCCATGCTGGATGTTGGTCCGCCTGGGTCCTAACCGTGTCATCCAGCACTGAGCCCCACGATGGGCCTGGCAATATGCGGGAGGAAAACTGTGAAAAGACTACCTTGGCTGATCTTGACTGATGCCAGCTGATGCCAGCTGATGCCAGCTGATGCCAGCTGATGCCAGCTGATGCCAGCTGATGCCAGCTGATCTGATTTGCTTGCATGTCCTATTCAACCTATTCCCAAATGCTCACTCTGTCCTCGCCATGCCTTGCGATATTTTGTGTTGGATTGAGACAAGCTCCCGCTGCAACCGGCGAAGCTCCTGTTGCAATGCAAACCTTCCAAGACTCTTTAGAAGTTGAAAGAACTCCAAGCAGGGTTATTCAAACAATGGCTGTCTGTTATTCCAACTCCTGACAAGGATAGACTTACAACATGGAGCAAGTGACAGACTCAGGTCCTCCGAAATTGAAGAAGGCTTGGAAATCTTCGCAAGGCACAGGTTTCGAACAGGCAATGCAGCTCAAGTCTGTGTATTTTGCAGACAGTATGCATCTTGCCAGCCTTCTCATGCATAGACTCAACACGTGAGCCAGGTTCCAAAGAGTCAATCACGTCAAACATATTTGGGGCCTCACTGTCTGACTCGGAATGGGCATTCAATGGCAAAGGATGTCTGTTGCCAATGGGTTTGCTGGTCACTTCACGTATTGCCAAGAAACTACAATTTGTCCCTTGCAACCTCTGAGGAAACTGCGTAGCAACTTTCAAGTCGAAGTGGTGCAGGCCAGTGGTTGAGGCTTTCGAGGCTGATTCCTTTGGCTCTGCACACAGACAACAAGAAAAACGTTTCAAACAACACATCAAGAAAGCCTGAAATATGTTCACATAGATTCACATAGACTCACTGATTCACACAGTAATTATCAGCAAGCCTGGGCTTTTCCTCATGGACTGCCTGACGTTGCGTTCAGAGGCTGGCTCTACATAAGGCAGGAACTGCTTGTTTGCCCGAGAGTTTGGGATTTCGAGATAGGTTGCAGGAACACTTGTCATGAATCGCATGATCCGCAATTTTCTTTCGGGTCTTGGCAAATTGCCTCACCGAGCTTGTCGCCAAAGGGGAGCCCAACCTTGATTTTGTCGATTTTGTGAAGAGCTGACCACGGCCGCCCGTGCAAGGTTCAACGAAAAGTGGTAAATCATTCGGTGAATCAATAGGATCAATAGGATGTTGAGTTCTTTCATGCTCTTTCTTTCGAGTGACAAAGGCTCTGAAGGAACATCCAATGTCCTGGCTGAACCGCACTACGCCCTCCGAAGGCACAAGAATGGTTGGAGATGTTGGAGACTTGAGTCATTAAACCGGATGCCGGACGAGAATACTTGAAATGAATTGAAATGAACCAAACATGTTTGCATTATTTTGCATTCAGAAGGACACCAGGCCTCATCAACCGTGAATCCGCTGATGCATTTCGCACTCTTGCTCCCATCTCAGAGCTTTGTCTTGACCGAGCCTGTCAGTGCGCAGTGAGGCATCACGTTGATGGGAAATGCACCTCCGCTACATTCCAATCCAATTCCAATACTCTGATTGTAAATGATATTGCTGGCTGACAAGAGCCCTGACCAAGGGCTGAACAGGAGAGTGAGATGCATCCAGCTTCACACCAGACGCCTCGTGCCAATGGCTCCACACAAAGCCGCGGGTGTGGCCAACAGGACGGTAAAGCCAGGCATTTCTTGTCCAAGGCACAGCAAAGTCAAAGTACCAGCATCGAGCGTGAGTTGAGACAGAGAGAGAGGGAGAGAGAGATAGGTAGATGGATGGATGGATCGATGGATGGACGGAGGGATGGATAGAGACATAGATGGATAGTCCACAACAACCATGGCAAATTTGGCCACGAGTGCGTTCCAGCCCATTCTTCTCAAAAATGCGATTTTTGACAACTCTGAATTAGTTCGACTTGGCTGCCAGCGCGCCTTCGCTGGCACCCGCGCTTTCGATTGTGCCCATCTGCAGTGTCGCCGCCCAAGGCGAAGTCTTTGGTATCCTTGGCATCCTTCATAGAATCCTTGATCTCTTTGGTCCAGCCTTTGGTCTCCGTGTGACAAACCTTGTGACAATCTTTGGTATCTTTCCTGTTCGTGACATCTTTCCTCTTCGTACCTCAGCTTTGAAGCTGTTTCAAGATTTGCAAAGCTTCTGGAACGAAGATTCTGAGGACATTTACACTTCGAGTATGGACATTGTGCACTACCAAGCCAGCCCACAAAAAACTACACGGTCCGATTCTTTTTGAAAGTTGCGTTATCTTATATAATCTTATATTATAATAGTCTTATTGTAAGCACCAAGCTTGGCTTTGGGCCTTTTGCCTGGGCTGACCTCAAGAGCACCAAATAAGCGATGCAATGCGGGTGCAAAGATCGAGACATTAAAATAACTCCGTGATGCCCTTCAAAGATTTTCAGAGAATTTCCATTTTCTGCGTGGGTAGAAAAGCCTGTCACGAAATGTGTGAAGCTGCCACTTGCTAAAAACACCGAGCCCCTCGCAAAGGAGCCGTTCATTTTCCTGAAAAAGTGCAAAGCAAGGGACAAGTGCTGGAGTCATCTGGAGTCTAGGCGCGGCTAGGTGTGAAACAAGTGAAGGGTTCGAAAGAGCTTGAGCGGTTCAGAATTCTGAGGATGTAGCAATCTCTTGGGCGACATGCTGACACTGCGGGCAGCTAGGTCAGGCGGAGCCGTCTGCACCGCTGCGGTTTGCCTCGACAAGGAAGGATTGGGAAGCAAGCAAACAAAGAGAATGAACATTTCAAGAGAATGAGAAGCGGGCAACAGGGACACAATTCGCCGGAAACACACGACCCCGCGCTTTGCCAGAAATGCACAGTGGATGATTTGGGGATTTCGCGGGCACCGTACTCTTGCGAGCATGTTGACATTGCCATGAACTATAATCAAACTACTCCAACCATGGCGTGAAACCTTAAAGCAATTTCAAGTTTTGTCATAGAGTACCCCAATCTGTTGCAAGTAACTTGCAGAAATGGTGTCCTCCAGGTCAGTACAGGCGAGGGCTGAAGTCACAGGAATTTTCTTCAATGCGGACAAATCGCTTGCGGAAAAGTCGCCACGACGCGGTCACAGCAGGGTCACAGTCACAGCAATCTATAATAATCTATAAATAACACAGGTGGATTGCCTCCATATGAAGGATATAAGGTACCAGCGTAACGAACACTAGAGAGCCCACCCCTCGCACTGCACACTACTGCTCTGCGCTACCCAGCACTACTTTGTAGTGCAAAACCATCAAGTAAACAAAGATGAACCTCCCTGTCACCCGAAAGAGGACATAGGGCATGGCCGAAGGGACGTTTCCCCCATATAAGCTCATTATGCTGAAAAACAACTCACCAAATACTATAGTCATCCAAGGACCCAAGGAAATACATGGATTTGACCCCCAAAACACCCTGAAACCACTCAACAAAAAACAAATATCATAGGTACGGCCACAACTGCTGCGACCCCCTCAAAACCTTCGTCTAACGGATTAAAGCAAAACCAAAAAAGCCGCCACGACTTTGAGCCAATCAAAACCCTTGACTGTACGGGATCTGCCTCTCCCCTGAGTGGCACTGAGTGGGACTATCCTTCGACAGGAGCATCAACTAGATCAAGTTGGCATAGACTCAAGACAGAAAAACACACGAAGAATCGACAAAAAGGAGATGACATGGAGATGACATGGAGATGACATGCCTTGCATCTTTGCCCCACAGTCCTGGATAGAGAGATAGCGCTGCAGTACCGAAAGCTGTGGAGGTTTGAGCGCAAAGACCTTCTCGAAGTTCGCAGGTTGCCGAGCACTTTCAACCTGAGCCCACCAAGGAACTGCCCAGGAAGAACAGGGAACCCAGACCATCACCTATGATGACCTATGTAAGTTTGTGGCGCCATCATGCCTATGTGCAATCACCTCCAACACCTTGGAATTCTTGGAATATCCACAGGCCATGTATGCAAGCCATAGCCAACGTCCGTCAAAAAATTATAGAAAAATCCTTTGTCAGAGAATCCATTGTCTCAAAATGTCTCAAAGCTGTCGTGCCCTAATTTTGCAAGGGCACGGCCTCAGATGGAACTGGGTCTGCAGATCGGAGATCGTTCGAAGGGTCTCCACTTTCTTTGGCCTGCACGCAGTCATCGCATCGAACGCAGAAAATTGCAACTTGCTGGGAGCTCACCTTCGCATTTCTAGCAAGTTGTTGATTAGTCTTCATCTTGGTGTCCTTCTACCACCCCGAACTTACAGTAGCCCTCGGTGGCCTTCGCGTCTTCTGAACTCTCCTATCTTCTCGCCCCCTGTCCTCCCTCGGATCCTATTTTTCTTCCCACAAGTTCTCGTGGTCAGAGAAGTTGCTGTACCATGCTGTACCCATATCCTCATCTTATCAGTCAAACAAAACCTTAGAGTCCAAGGAATTGCACTTCAAGATCCTGTCTCAAGTCTTTTGTGAAAATCACTTCAGATCGCTTTTGCTATCGCTCCACTCTACACAAGGAGAAAACAGTTTGCATCAAATCTGCACCGTAAGCTGGGAGTGGAGAGATCGCATGAACGTGTAGATTTTGGTGCACATGATACCTTTTTGATGGGAGGGAATCTGGGGTATTCATTACAGTATTCATGGTGGCTCCGCGTGCACGTTGGCTCATGAAACGCCCGACATTTTAGTGTGGCAAACGTAGAACTTTGACAAGTGGTGATCCTGTCAAAGGCGCTTTCGGAGAGGCTAGGCACACATACTGCACTACCTTACAGATTTCCTTGCAGTGCCTTACAGTACTTAGCTGAGCACAGTAGAACAGAAGATTTGTGCGCTGGGCATGTTTGGCGGGAATCCTTGTACAACGCGTACATACACTGGATGCTTTGCCTGTGCTTTGAGGCTATGGTCTACGATTTCAGTTCGTAGATTGGAGGATATTGGAGGCATGTTTCAATGAGATTGTCAGGACATGTCAGGACACAAGCCTCTTCTGGTTCTTCCACCTGGCAAAAAATGAGGGGATTTTGGTTTGCTTTGCGCTTTCTACATTGCTGTGTCTTCTAGAAACATCCATTGCCCAGCTACAGTACTTCTTGGGATTATCCAGTTTGGTGGTTTTCACGGCCCTTCTCCTCACGAGTCGCTTGCAAAGACCACAAATGTGACAGCAACATACAGCAACAAGATTACAAATATTACAATACCTGTACCGGCCTGCGGGCGCCACAGATGCAGCTGCGGCAAGGGTGGGAGTTCTGGCGATAGCCTGACTATTTCAGCCTCGCGCAGGTGGTAGAGACCGTGTAAGGTGACTAGGGATCATGTGAGATGATGTGTGGGGCAACTAGTCACTACCCATCCACAAGCAAAACTATGGAGAAAGTCACAGTCCTCCCTTCCCACACCGCGGCCTCTTCGGAACTCTCATTCGTGCCTTCAAGAGGCAAATCGAACACAGCAAATCCAGCCAAGAATGTCTCAAACAAGGCTTGAAAGACTTTCAGGGCTTACAAACAACAGAAGGGTGGCAAGTTGTGGCAGGAACACTCTGGTAGCACCCACATGCAATGCTCGCTACATCACAGTTCCCACATCCAGCGCCTTGCTTGCGACTTGAGGCTTCCAACTGTGCAGCAAACAAGTTCGGCAACACAAATTGCCAAATCAGAAAAACTTAGCAGATCTTAAGTGACCCAGGACCCTTTTTGTCAGTGGAAGCAGCGCGCTTTTCGCTGTCCAGATCGTATGGAACACAAAATCTCAAACACCCAACCAAATCACCCCAGGATCTACCAGCTTTTTGTCAACTAAAGGTGTTGCTGGGGACCGGTTCATTAATGCCTTTGTCAAGAAGTACTTCGAGGGCTCCAGCCATGAGGAGTTCCATTGGACATCACCCGAAACAGATCACAGCATCACAAAATGTTTTTTGAATTATAAACTATACAAATTGCACATGTAAGATACATAATATACATTTATAAATTTAATTAGTTATATACATATATATATACAGTATTATATATATATATTATATTATTATATTATATATATATATATTATTATATTATATATATATTATATTATTATATTATATATATATTATATTATTATATTATATATATACATGTAAAATAAAAACATATAAATACCCAGTACATCACAAATACAAACTTCATCCCGTCAAAAGGCAGTCTTCTCCAATCTGCCACTTCGCAAAGTTGCTTGTGTCTCCCCTGTACCAATATGTACTAATGCAAAGTCACAGCTCCTGGTAGGTTCGAAGCAAATCGACAGAGCGCGTCACACCTCAGAGCCACACTCCCAGGCACGAAAGCATGATCAAAGATCCTTTTCGGGGATGGGTACAACCGGGGACAGGATGAGACAGCAAGAGAAGACCTCCTTCATTCTGAAAGGTTGAACCGGAACTAAACTAGCAGGGAAATACAATGTTTCAGAGTTTCAGATTCTTTTAAGATATTCTCAGATATTCTCACATAGTCTTGAGCTAAGCTAGGAACGGGCCACCAGCTCCGCTTCCTTCTGTTGACTGACTTCGCGCTCTCTTTCTAGGTCCTTGGGCGCACAGAACATCTGTTGCAAACATCAATTCGTGGATTGTGTTACTTGAGAAGCCGGTCGAATCATTCACATTCTTTAAAAGTGAACAAAGAGCGGAAGAGCCAACCAGTATGAAGAAGGGCATACATAAAATATGAATAAGGTATGAATAAGGTATGAACAATTGCAGCATGCAGCAAGAGAGCCAGGTGCGACTCAACAGTACTTTGAGTACTGCTGTACTCACTGTACTCTGTCCTGCCTGCAGGCGGGAAGCCTGTTGTCCCAGCTTCTCTCTCAGGTCTTCCTGCCACGTGGCAAAGCGCAACGTTTTTGCCCTTGGGAAATCAACTGTAAAAGTCTGCCTTGAAATAGTGGGAGTCATGGTGAGTCACGGCCAAGGCATTCAATCTTCGAGCTGGCAAAAATCATGAAAGCACGGTGAGTCATGTTACTATCATCTGTATCATAGGACGACAGAAACATGGACAGAAGCCACATTGAGCCACAATGATTACGAAATGTGAAATACAGAACAAGGCTTCATTCTAGTGAGAGGATGCTTTCAATAGGCAGCTCCTTGTCTCGTCGTTCTTTTGCCAGGACCTCTAGTACAGTACGATCTCAAAGTTTACAGATCCACACAGTCTCCGGCAGCATCTGGCAAACGTCAATGAACAAATTGCGCAGATGTAAAAGAATCGCATTGTCATAGAAAATATTTGTATTGTTATTATTTCTGTTCTAGGTCCAAGGTACCTTGATGAGGTTGCCAATTCTCGCCTTGTCCTGACACTGGCTGCCAATACTAAAATGTGCACAGCCTTCAGATCAACATCGCACACCAACGGATACAGGCATTTGGAGCATCAAGCGCTCCCTATCAGACTAGTCTTCGGTCAGCACAGTCACAAAGAGAGGCAAAGTAAAGAGTAAGCGTCCTCCGCAGACAGGGCTAGAAGACCAGAAGTTTGCCCATAATCTCCATGTTTACTTTGCCGACTTTGCCTGGGTGCTATGCTACAAGCCGAATCCGCTTGCAGTGATTCTAGATGCACTCTGGCAAAGGATAAAATTGCTGTCTGCAAAAGAGTAGCTGCCGCTCCAAAGATTGTGAACCAAGGTGATGTCCTGAAATTGGTTCCTGCCGCGGCCGCTTGAAGAAACTTAAAGAGCTGCAAAAAGCAGCTCAAGCATGCCACGCCTGTTCCCTCTGCGGGGACATCCTCCCTCTAGAAATTTGGCGCAGTCTTGGTTCTATGTAGGAACATTGCATGGCGCATTGTGCAGTGGGATTTTTCGAATCCGATCTTGCATCCTCCGACCTCAGTTGCATTAGATCATTAGGTATTGAGACCGTCCTTGGAAATGCATATAGACATATATATATATACATGTATATATATATATGTATAGTATGATATGGGCTGGGTGTTTTCGGCAGTTACTTTGTCCAGAAAATCCTTCTGATGAGAGTTGAAAGCGGAAAACAAGACTCAGGCAAGCGCCCGGACAGGGCACCATGCAAAGCGCATTAGATTCCACTGGAGGCTGAGCTCTGAATTCTATGGATTTGAATAAAACTTTTGATGCTGGTAGAAACACACATGCCCTGGTCTAGATCACTGGGTCTTTGACACTGCTGTGCGTGTGGTACTAGACTCTCATAAAGTCCTCCTACTATTGCTCGGGCGCAACATTGCACGGATCGACTGATATTTGCAGAGTTTGGCTTTGCTTGACGTCATACCATTGCCAAAGTGGTGAGAAAAGCAAAGGAATGCAGCAAGGAAGCCAGTGGAAACAAGCCAAACGAGCCAGTGACTATATAAGTTGATGTGGCTGGCCCTTTGGGACGCCAAAGGCCGGGACGGAACCCTTTCAAGCTTCTGCAATCACAACTCTATGGTGTCTAGGTGATTGGTAAGTGCCTAATCTTTCCCAACCCTCTTAGTTTTTCTCTAACCTGAAGTTCCGTGTTCTGGTAACCTTGATATCTTTGCTAGGTAATCTTGACACACTGGTAACCTGCAATGATATATTGCATCTTTGTTACCTCTAACTTTTTCATCAAGCACAAGAGTTAACAGAGTATAAGCGACCCTGGTTGGCGTTGAGAAGCCTTAGATCTTGTCAACATAGAGGTTAGAAAGCATATACAATATGAAGGTTAGGCGTGTTCGTGCCCTTTATAGGGGATTTTCAAATGCCATGCTTGATTGCCAGAGGGTAGATTACTTTAGTAGTTAAATCATCGAACTGAATGGGCCATGGCTTTCATAGCAAACTGTGAAACTGCCACACTTTGGGTAGTTCCCAAAATGGGGCCAAGGCGATGGGTTTCGAGGCTAAAATCGTTTAATTTCAGATGATTTGCCATTCAAACCTGGCGACAATCGCCACTTGGAAGAGCAAGATGGTTTAAACTATATACAGTGGAGGGCAATGCTAACTGATATGTTTTGGGGTCCATTTCTTGAATTCCTGGTGATTTTAGAATTTTAGAACAATAAAACTGACTCTGGTGATTTTTAGTTTTGTCCGACACGACGAATTTCCTGGTGACTTGAAGATGTCTTGAGTTCGGAAGAGATTTTTGTTCACCATCATGGGGCCTCAGCAATCGGCAAAGGAGACCCATATAACAAGTACAACACACACCCAAATGACATGGCAATTCCCGTCAATTCCCCTGTGTATCCCCATAGAGGGGTAGCAGTAGACTTCAGCAAACTGCTCAAACTCAGCCACTGGTATTTGCTGCAGAAATTCACCATGTCAACTGTCTCACCTGACCTTGATCTCTCATTTGGAAGCCGGACACATGACACATTGTCAAGATTTGTCAAGTACTTCTTAAGCAATGTCAACTATGCCACGTGGTAGGTCTCGGGTCTTGCTATGCTTTAGGGAAAGGCTGCAGCTTTTCAGCCTTTGATCTGAGGATGTAAAGATTCAATCAAATATGCAGCCATGCACCACCCGGTTTTTTTGGACTTGACTTAAATGCACCTTCTGGACTCATTGTGGGGGTTGGCAGTGGCTCAGAAAATGTCAAAGTCAAAAGATGTCAAGAGCTATATTTTTGGGAATCGAATGCGGCTCTGATTTAGCTGAGTGTGCCTGTGTGTGTGTGTATGCATGTTTGCACAATGTTGCGTATTCTTTGGCAGCCATCCCTTTTTCCCTTATTCAAAACATGGGTTACCTGCTGCGTCATCACTGCTTCTTCAACGGAAAGACATGACATGATTATGTTGTGTTCATCCAAAGTATCATCTCTCCCACTTTGAAAGTCTTGGAAGATCCTGCTAATCTGCCAAAGATTCGATAGATGTTTCTTCCTTGACTGGGACGGCTACGAAAATAACCAGAGTGGGTCAGTGATAACTTCTACCCGACATGCAAGACCAACACGAAACACTACTTCGGGCCTTCAGGCCACCTTCCATGGGTACTTTGTATCCTACCTATATACCGTATACTGTGTACCAAATATATATATATAATCTCGGAATATCCATCGAATTTGTCCAGCTGCGTGCAATTTTGGAAACAAAGCAGTCCTATCCAATCATTTCCCATTGATTGGTAGGTTCGCTTCATGCTTCAATGCGAAAGTACACCTCCGCATTTATATAACTAAAACAATACCAAAACAAATTGGTCTCACAGGTCTTCAGGGGCATGCATCGGGTGAATGCGGTAGAGGAGTAAAGTACCATTTTGGCTTAAGCGTTTCCTTTCGGTACTGCGCTGACTTTTTGATAGCCATCTGTACAGATTTTTCTTGGGCACATGGTGGACTCTTATGTACATGCCTTCCACCATCTATATAGCAATATCTCAAATTGGAAAATCTCTCGTCCTTGCAAGATTCAGCACCCTTGAGGCCTGAGGACACAGTGGTTTCACAGGGTCTCAAGCGTTGAAAAGAATACTGTTTGTATATAGATTGTGTAAGTGCTCGCAAGTCTCCTGCAGCTGCTGTCGTCATTTTGGGACGTCTGCCAAGACATTCCTCCCGATAAATTCTCTTTGCCACGGCCTTGATTTTACTAAATCTTTCCTCCCCGTCCCTAATTTGTCGTTCAAAATCACATTCATTCTTGTTATTCTAATTCTCAACCAGAATGCCTCGTCGCTCGGAGACCAAGGGCATTTACGGTGGTCAAGTGGCTCCTGGGTTTACTCTGTGGGCAATCCCAGGCAGCTCTTACAAGTTCCAAAGCTGCATTGACAATTCCGTACTGTATCAAGAAGAAATCAACCCGACCATTACTTTGGCGTCTGAAGTTTGGCTTTGGCACTTGGCTATATGAATCGCCATCTGCATCCCCGTCGAGCGAAACCGGATTCAGAAAGCGGTCCAGCCGCCACAAGACCGCAAATGCGGTCGTAGCACGTAGCAATGACTTTCTAAGCGGCTGCATGCGGCTGCGCCGCGAATCCAAAGAATTTCTGGAAAAGTTAGCCAGGCCGTCAGGCCATCAGCCAGCCAGTCAGATCAGGCAACTGGTGCCGCAGCAGGACTTTCAAGTCTCTCCTTTGGGGTGTGCCTCATGGCAGAAACTTTAAACACTGCCACATACACCCCCAACTTCGCACCTGTGCCTCAACCTCAACCATTTTGAAGCTGATGCTTTGTGAGGTTTGTGTAAGCGCCAGACACTTCCAGGTGGACCTTTGCACATACCCAACAAGATCAATACAAGATCAACAAAAATAAAGCACCCATGGTTTCATCTCTGATATTCTCTGATCTCTAGATCCATCTTGGACTCTTGGACAAGGAATTTGGAATCTAGAAATGGAAGAATCGCCCCGAATTTGGTGGCCCACCTGATGGAGCTCGTACAAGTTGGCGTGAGAAAACTTAGCAATCTCGTGCCTCGTGCAGAGCTCAATGGCGAACATATGTTTGATCTTGCTTGTTGAGTCGTCTGTCGTTTTCATTTCTATGAGTTCTTATCTTCCCTTCAAATCTGCAAGAATAGCTCAAGATATTTCATCATTCTATTTCCTGCATTTTCCTGCTGCTATTTCTTCTGGCTTGTCTTGCTATCAAAGTTTCAGCCTGTCTCAGATTGAATCCCCTGCCAATGGTGCTTGTATTTGCGCCACTCTGCACATTTGTTAAACGAAACAGCTTGCTGAGAAGCTCACGTCAACTTCCCTGGCTTGTAGCCTTCTTCTGATTCCTGTATTTCCTGTACCTCCTGTACGGGTGTCTCTTCAGGAGCTTCTGCTTTCTTGCCATCTTTCTCGGCTGCGGCCGCTTTGATCTCCTGGACGAACTTTGACCCAGGCCAACTATGCCATGCCTACAATGCAGGCCCTGGCTCAACATGGCTCAACAACCACCAAAGGGGAAGATTGCTGGGAACATGCAGAGCTGAGTCAGCGGAGATCCCGCAAACCTGGGCATGACAGCAATATCAGCAATGGGCCAAGGCGGTCCTTCTCTGCTTCTTTGAGATCATTCGGGCACCAGTAGAGATTTTTGGCTGTGATTCCCACTCCTTCCAGAATCCCTCTAAATCGATGCGCACCTGCAAAAAAAGGCCAGTGTTTGCTCGCAGAAAGCTATATAAATCAGTCCCATTAGCAATATAAGCAGTCTGCAAGCTGCCAAAGGCAGATTGCAACTGTGACTGAAGCACAAGCACCTTCAATGCACCAAGTGGCCATAAAGAAAAGGTATCCGTTTGCGTGTCAGGAAGTCAGTGTGCATCCGTGTGCCACATCAACGTGTCCCACCCAATAATCCATTCAGAATCCAGATAAAACCAATTGTAAGCCAGTCACAGTTGATCCAGTAGTTCATATCTTCGTACATCCTGCATCTGCAGCTGTTCAAATAGGACTGCTGCAAAACCAGGGGCAAGTCTGTCCTGTCTGGATCGAAGCTTTCTCGAATATGCGTCACACTCTCCAAGCCGCTGAACTCTGACGTTTCTTGCTCTGAGATCAGAAGCAGCTTTGCCTTTCAGTGATGTCTCACAAATCTTCATAAATCTTCACAAGGCATTGCCCAAACGATTCTACCCAGAAGCCACGACAACTGCGACAACAAATATACAAGCCGGGAACGGGAAGACCAGGGAAGCGCTCTGTCATTCTTGACCTGGGAAAGCTGATATTTTGTAGCTTTGGACATCTTTGAAAACCGTCAAAATGAAACAATGCCTGGGACTTTGAGACTTAAAGTAAGTTCGCGACAACAAGTCACAAACTTCTGCTCTCGAGGCAACACCAGTTCGAACGAACAACACGCTATCGGCGTTTTTGCAGGCCCAGTTGAAACGGGCAGCTCTGCCAGTGTACCTCTTCCTGACAAGAATGATGCTCATGCTCAATTTATTTCTGCTCAAACATGCTCATCTCAGCTCTCTGGCACTGACTCGAGAGAAACCCGACATTTTTTGACACAGAGCCCTACCAAGAGACCATCCCACTGGTGCCACAGTGTCTGAATTTACGAACTCAAAAGGCACCTAGTCTGTCCCATGCTTTATGGACTTTATGGTGCAAGTTGGCCAGCAAGAAGCATGTTTTGCCAGCTGATTCCCAAATGAAGCAAAAATCAGCAATTCCAGGCCCTGTGGTACCCATCCTCTAACAAATGACGTATCAAGAAACTTTGTGGTGCCAAGGCTCCTCATCCTTTCTGCAATGGGTGCAAAGTTGCCTATGGGATCTTCACCCTGCTCATACTCCACTTCATGAGCGAAGGACAGCCCATGCCACTTGCGATGAAAAATTCTTCCAACTTCGCCATCGTAGTATAATTGCTCTGGGTTCCACATATCTGAAAAGCCAGTAGCTGCCATGTCGGCAACATCCGCCAGGCTGGTGGTTCCTCGAGAACTGCCGAATGTCAGGCTCTCACAGGGTCACAACATGCCACTCTTTAAGCCAAATCCAGGGACATTCAACGGCTGCCACAATGGTCATGAATAAATGCAAGCAGGCAACTGGTGAGATCAAATGGATAGCAAGGTCCATCAAATTCAATCTTGTGCAGGAGCATTCCTTGCGAATTGGAGCTCGCTGGGGAAGCAAAGGAAAGCCGCATGTGAAGCCAACAATGTCAATAGTCAGTGACAGGACGAGTGGAATTTGGCTGAATCAAGAGTAAAGGGGCGAGTAGAGCATCGATCGCCAAGCGGGAGCACCTGAAACAACAAATCAAATCAAATCAAATCAACATAAGCCAAAGGATATCTACTTGAATGAACGTTTTCTTTAACTACAAAATCTCTGAACACTTAAAGTGACTTAACATCAAGCGCAATCAAATGTGCACAAGATACAATCCAGCGCACAATCAAATACAACCAAATGCAATCAGGAGACTGCTACCTGTTTGATGGATTGCAAGTCACCGACTCGGCTCAGCTCCACTGCGGACCTGGCGGGCACCTTGACCCGCGACTGGAGCCCATGGCAGGATATGATGGCAGTGCGGAAGGCCAGTCCTGCGCTTCAGCGAACTCAGCAAAGGGGATACAGTCGCATACAGTGTCTGAAGACCCAGGATTGCACATGGACACCCAATATATGGAGCTGCAATTGGTTGTGTTGAACTCAACTTTGTTCAAAGCACGATCAAAAAACTATTTCAGGGTTTATGTGGCACCCAGGTGGCACCATCAGTGGCAAAGGCAAACCACCTCTCTAAAGGTGAAGTCAAAGGACTAGAAATAACATTTAATAACCATAGCTGTTCAGCCAAAAAAGAGCGGAATCTGATTTTTTCCATCTGCAGAGGTCTCCTGATGAATCTTCGTAAACACCATGTTGCATGGCTTTGGTCGCTTGTCGCACATCATACCACATAGGATGCACATTGTACTCACCTTGCAAGTTGATTGAGCTTTGTCATTACAAATCAAAGATCATGAACTGGAGTTGGACCGGGGTAGAAGAATAGGCAGAATAGGGTTCAAGTTGGTCAACTTGGCACTGAAAGCCTCCAGGTCAGAAACGAGTTTGTGGAGGGAAACTTCATATCCTTGAAGCCTTGTCTTCAGCATGCCAAGATATGCCAAGTCTACATGCGAAGGAGACGGTAGGAGAACATGGAGAACATGGAGAACATGGAGAACATGGAGAACATGGAGAACAATCGGACTGCAAGGTCTCCTGGCGTACCAAGAGCCTTTCCAAACAGCTGCGCCTTGAAAGTGCATCCATAGAAAAGGGATCGAAAAGGATACTTTGTGCAAATCTAATTCAGCAAAGGATCATGATGCTTGGTTGAAGATTTGGAGACTGCCCTTTGCAGTTTTAACCACTTGTAGATTGTCGTCACGAAACAAAGCAGTGCTCCCTGCTGGCAGAGATTTCAGATCCCTGTCCAACATTCGCAGTTTCACCTTAAGCAAACGGACCAATGGTAACAAAATGCAGATCAGTTTCGGCAACTAGTTCGAGACAAATCATGTCCATTGCATGCAAAATCGCAACAAATCAGGTTGTTGTCGGATGATTCAAACCAACTCCATGCGAATTGCCCGCTAGCTTGTTGTTTCTTGTAGACTCAACCAACAGCTCCCCTAAACCCAGGTAACTGTTTTTTTGGGTGCAGGGATGGAGTTGTTTTGGCATTTTGGCAAAATCCAACTTCCATATGTAGTTTAACTTCTTGAGGGTTGTTAAGGTGTTTCTTTACCTCCCACATCCAGTACCTCATGTTGGACTCGTTGGGATTGACATGTATCTGATAGGGCAGTGGATCAACCAACAAATGGTGCGCAAAGTGTGGTCTTGCGTAATTTGCAGGCTTGGAGGACTTCCCTGCGCATGGAACATCAATCCTGACGTTCCATGATTTCGGACTGAAAATCGGGGATCTCCCTATGAGCATGAACCATTTCCAGTGTTTGAAAGTTCAATACACTTATATAGAGACTTAGATCTGCTTTGTCATGCCGCGTCACAGTGCTCTTAGCTGGAATCTTGCCGCATGACTGAATTGTCCCTGATTCACCTGACAGGCAAACCACAGGATTACCATCGACGAATATTTCAAAGGATGGACAGCCTTGGCGACATAATTAGGTGGGGCACGCAGGTGGCTCTGAAATCTGATCAAAGGCAAGCTGGCGCAGCCCCTGTAAAGTTTCTCCCAGAGTCAAAAACATTAAACAGCGCAGTGATGCCGAATACCCACTCTGTCCAATAGCCCGATTCCGCCAATGTTCCGTTCGGTTCGACCCGGTTCGATGCCTATGTAGAGCGAAAAGGCGGCATTCGGAATGTCATCCAGTCTCACGTAGAGGCCTCTTCGAAGTGTCCAGGGAGCCTCCCAGAAGATGGCAGCGAGGCTGGTTTGCATGTCACCCCATCCAGGGTTCAGATCGTACCTTGCAACGGCGGTGCCTTTCGAAATGAATCCAACGCCAAAGAATAAACGTGTATGTGTATATATACATATATATATATACAAATATAATACACATATATATATATATACATACGTTTATTTATACATATATATATACATATATATATATACATATACATATACATATATATATACATATACATATACATATATATATATACATATATACATATATATACACTTAAATATATATATATGTACATATATACAGAGACATATAATTATATATATAGTCATCCTAAAGTAGATAGAATATTTTTTTTGAGGGTGCGGGATTTATGTTGGAATTATGTTGGATGTCGGCCACTTAAAAATAAATAGGTAGTTGGAATATTTCGGGGGAGGTCGAAAACTGGTAGTTGGAATATGGTTTGCAGGGTCTTAAGCTGCTGTGGGGTCTGCGCGTGGTGTTCACAATTCCCTCAAAATATTCTATCTACCTGGTTTGAAACAATATTCTATCTACTTTTCGGTGTTGTTTGATTTTTGTGTTTTTCAAAATTTCTCCAGACCCGTGTCCAAAACTGGCTAAAAATGACTTAACAAAAACGAAAAACGTGTAAAAACTGAGGGTTTCGAAAACATTCCAACTATTTATTGTTATTTTTGAAAATCATTTTTGAAAATGTCCGATATTCTATCTACTCCAGGATGACTAACTATATATATATATGTGTGTGTGTGTTCCCAAATAGAATTGAAAATGGCAAACGAAAGCAGGCAACTGCAGCAGCACATCAACTTTTGCTATGCAGTTGGCCTGTGCGGCTGGGTTTCTGTTTTGATGCCACATGCATCAAGTTCCATACATATGGTTCCCTCAGGAACCCATCAAAACTAGTGGACCCCAGTGCATATCTGACAATAGTCAAAACCAGGTGGGAATGGTTTTGTGTTTTCTTAACTTTAAGACTAGGCGACCTCAAAGTTTTCTCACGCTATATTTGAATCATGTTGGATTCAGCCAGCTCTGTGCCATGTCTGGCAAACAAAGAATTAATGGCAAACATCCAGAAGGTACGTGGCACATCTTCAAAAGATGGCCCGAAAAACAAAATTGAAGCGTAAGTCACATACTTCACGATCAGAGTTAACCTCAGAAGCGGAAACTTGTCTGAAGTTCCCATGTCTGAATTTGTATATGTCCTTACCATCCCCTGTGGAATTCGAGCGAAGGGTCGGGGCTTCGTTCCATAGGGATAAAACGAAAACCCAAGCAGAAGGGGGTGGTGTTTTCACTATAAAATGCAACCCTGCCAAGTTCACAGCCCCCTGCCACTGCTATAAAATGAAACCCCTGCCTTACATTGGCCACCACTTCTAACAAACTATGCACTATAGAACAAAAAAAACAGTCGCGTGGATCAGAAAAACGACCCCCTATAGACTAGAAAACTGGGTTTGCAAGGCCCAAAGTTTGGTTTCACTTTTGGATACGTTTTTTCCCCAAACCATCTGGGCATAGGGTAGGTACTATTCTATAGGAAAAGTGGCCTACCAACCCCCACACTATAGAATCATACCCAGAAGCTATTTATTTTGCAGGGTTTTCTCCAAGGAGGATTCCTTAACTCTTTACGTGACCATGCGTCCTGAATTCTTTGGGGAAGTATGCTTTCCGCTTTGTTTTGTTTTATGATGTCCTGTTGTGTTCGTTTCCAAGCTACTGGCAGCATTTGGAGCTGGAAGCTGCGATTTTCAGTGGTATTTTCAACATTTTTGAACTCAAGCCTCTGATTTTCCGTGATATTTGTGTAACATTTGCGATGCCATGTGCTCGCACATTTGCAATTCTCTATGCTGCACCCAACTAGTTATTATGCATATAACAACACAATCGCGCAGTGCAGTGAAGAACTGTGACATACACATTCTTCTTCAACACTCATGTGATACCATGCCCTCACGCGCTTGCAATGCACTCTGCTGTTCCAAACTAGCTGTTTGCGCGTAGACAAGCACAATCGCGCAGTGCAGCGAAGAACTGTGACATACACATTCGTCTTCAACACTCATGCGATGTCATGCGCTCACGCGCTTGCAATGCACTCAGCTGTTCCAAGCTAGCTGTTTGCGCGTAGAACAGCACAACCGTGCAGCGCAGTGAAGAACTGTGACATACACATTCTTCTTCAACACTCATGTGATGCCATGCGCTTACGCGCTTGCAATGCACTCTGCTGTTCCAAACCAGCTGTTTGCGTTTAGAACAGCACAACCGTGCAGCGCAGTGAAGAACTGTGACATACACATTCTTCTTCAACACTCATGCGATGCCATGCGCTTACGCGCTTGCAATGCACTCAGCTGTTCCAAGCTAGCTGTTTGCGCGTAGAACAGCACAACCGTGCAGTGCAGTGAAGAACTGTGACGTACACATTCTCCTTCAACACTCATGTGATGCCATGCGCTTACGCGCTTGCAATGCACTCTGCTGTTCCAAACTAGCTGTTTGCGCGTAGACAAGCACACTCGTGCAGTGCAGGGAAGAACTGTGACATACACATTCGTCTTCAACACTCATGCGATGCCATGTGCTCACGCGCTTGCAATGCACTCAGCAGTTCCAACCCAGCTGTTTGCGTTTAGAACAGCACAACCGTGCAGCGCAGTGAAGAACTGTGACATACACATTCTTCTTCAACACTCATGCGATGCCATGCGCTTACGCGCTTGCAATGCACTCTGACGTTCCAAACTAGCTGCTTGCGCGTGCAACAGCACAATCGTGCAGCGCGTACAAGAGCACAATCGTGCAGTGCAGTGAAGAAATGTGACCTTGTGACCTACACATTCTTCTTCGACGCCCATGTGATGCAGTGCGCGCCCACACTTGCGCAGAGTGCTGTTTCGAACAGGCTGTTTGCTTTTTGAGATGCCACGACGGAGAGATACAGAACCAGCCGCGCAGTAGCACTCGCGCATTAGCAGGAGACTGTCTTCAGCTGTGTTGGATGAACCCTTTCAGCACCGCTTTCAACACTCAAAACCTTCATGGGTTCAGACTTCAGCTGCGGCTGCTGGCCATGCGGCCGAACATGATCTGAAGGGAGCACAGGCGACAGGAGGTGTAGAAGTTGGATGCGTTCGGCTGCTTCTCTTTGGCCATGGTGAGTGCCAAGGCAAGCATACTTGAACACATATTCATCCATGGCAAGATGTTTGGCCAGCACATCCGCCAAGATGATGGAAAGAAGTCGCTTGAATAGATGCGCGTCTCTGCTGTGCATCATTTTCAACACAAGCCGCATGTCCACAAGTTGTTGCATCCATTGGCGCATGTTTGAACTTTCATTGAAGGGATGGGGAAGCACGAGGAACAGGCAGGGATGCGAAATGAGAACTGGCATCACGGGTCTTACCAGAAACTGTTTTGACACTGGGCAGAGCTGCAAAGTCATGCAATATTATAATATATATATATGTGTGTGTGATCTATATATATATATATATGCGTGTGTTATATATATATCATGTATATCATCTATACATTTACAATCTATATATCATATATATATACCATATCTATTTCTATATATATGTATATAATATAATATATATATATACATATATCACATATATATACATATCATATATATATATATCATATATATGTATATATCATATATATATATATCATATATATATCATATATATCATATATCATATATATCATATATATATATGTCACTCTCTCCCCTTTCGCAGCGCTATGCACATCATACTTTTTGACTGGGATGCGCAAAGGTCTTTGCTACGCTGCCTTCTTTGTGACCTGACCTTGATGTCAGATCACTTTTCATGTTGGGTCCTTTTGAGCCAACATGTTCCTTGGCAATGGACAGCTCCATCACCCTCCCCCTCTTTAGATGATGGGGTTGTCTACTTACCTCACCATGGGTCCTCCCATCTGGTCTGACCTCTTTTCCTCTTACGGAGCGTCTCCTCCGGCCGATCCCCCTTCATCTCCTTCGAAGATTTTGCCAGTTTGATATCCTTGTCGAGCTCTCCTGCCTTCTCGATCAACTTGTCCAAGACTTCAAACTGGATATCCTCGAAGTTCTTCTCGATCCTTTTCTCGGGTAGAAAACCCGAGAACTCGTTGTTTGTGAGTGCGTCTGCCTCAGTGTTCTGACCTCTAGGAACCCAACCTAGATCCAGCTCTAGGTTGCACTTCTTGAGCTGCATGGCAAGCTCCATGACAACTATGGAGAGAGGGTACTTGCAGGACATGAAGTGCTGCAGCACATACGTGTGCCCAAGTTGTCCGTACTGGCCGACAGTGTCAGTGTGTTTAGGCTTTCCGTGTCCGCCAGGTCGTCTCCAAAGAGGACCACGGCCACTAACACCGCCGTCAGCTCCAGGGACGCAATGTTCCGGAACGGCTCACCTTTCATATATGCCCAAGGCGCATTGCGTCGGTTCAGGCGGATTGAGAACCATCTCCCTCTCTCCCCAGTCTTGTATCGAGGGATCTCCCATCCCCCGATCACTATGCACTCTCCTTCCGCTTTGGCGTCCACCCTGAACGCCTCGCGAGACCTCTCTCTCACTCTCCTTGGCTTGCTCATTGACTCCAAGGAAATTTGCATCTTCACATATTCCAGTAGAATCCTTACCGCCTCCGGAAATTTCGCAAAGGTTCCCGGAGATAGCACTGCTGACCATGCGAAGAGTGGGCCAAGGAATGGCCTGACATGGTGCAGAGCGCCTGCCACAAAACCGAACCTCCCAAGTGCCGAGCGGAGGTCCCTTCCAAGCACTCCTTCTGAGATCAGATGACTGCTGATCCAATCTTCGACCCACTTAACCTTTTTGCTCGAGATTCCCTTCTCGAACTTTTGCACATCAATCTGATATCCTATCCATTGGACTTTGACCCCTCCCCTCACCTTCTTCCATGAGAGAGGGACTTCCAACAGATCCAAGATGAACAACCAAAAGAGCAACTTCCTCCAA